ATGGGTGATGGTAAAATTTTATTTACTCCCCAACAACATCAAACAAATATTAATGATGGAAAGATACAAAAATATATTAATAAATTCATAACCAATGCTTCAAAACAAGAAAAGGAACTCTTTATGAGTCAGAAACCCTCCAGCAGCCCTAAACCAAGAAGGAAAGAAGGAAGCCTCAGCAGGATTGTCACTGCTGGGCCATGGTCCCAGCCAAGGAGGCTGCACCATGGCTGGGGGGTAGTCATGCTGCAGCAAAGCTTCAGTCTTCCCCCACACTGCCACCTACAGGCCCACACTGTAATTGCATATCAATAATGAAGTGGAGATCTTACATGTAATTTTTCAACTAACTGTATTTATCTTGGTCTATGGCCTTCACCAGCTTTTGGGGGTAACCCATTGACCCTGAATTTTTCAAGTATTTACTAAATACTAAACATTTGCCAGCTGCTGTAGCACATTGGGCTGTTGAAACTGTGGTTGCCTCAGCCAGGCCAAACCAAATGATTTCAAGGGAGTCCTGGTGTGGTGCTGTGGGATAATTCACTGCACCGCAAGGTCAGTTTGACCTACAAGGTTGGTGGTTCAAATTCACCAGCTGCTCCTCAGAAACCCTATACACAGTTGCTATCAGTGGAAACGGACTCGAAGGCACTTAACAACAACAACATTCTCCATCCCTGCTCTAGGTAAACAAGTCATTGATGGTGGATGGCCCAGCAGTGGTGATGACAGTGGCCAGAGCTCAGGGACCACCCTGCTATATCTCTTGGTGTCGGGCCAGAGGTAGCAGCGGTAAGGAGGCAGAAGAGGAAATCCAAGCCCCACCTCTAGCCCAAGCCACCAAAAACAGCCACAGCCCTCACTAGAGAATGTGAGTTCAAGGCTGGAAGTTAAATCAGGCTCTTTGTCCCAAAGTCAGGACAGGTGAGGCTTCCATCTGCTCAAAAGAGACATTGTGGCACTTTGGGTGTGGAGGGTGTGTGTGTATGTGTACATATGCACACACGTGTGTCTTTATCCCCTCATCTCAGTCATGGTCCTCTGACTCCAGCCCACATCAGCCCTCAGCCCTCTCCCCAGCCTGCTGCCGCCGGTGCAGAGCCAACAGGAGGGCCTGCCTCATGGTCTCCACATTGTTCAGAACATTGTATCGACTCAGGGCCACTAGTCGAGCAAACTCCTCGGACTCATAGGTGAAGTTGGTCATGCCATAGGGAGTGTCTGGCCCATTGAGGGCAAAATCCCCAAAGGCCTTCTCCTCATCTGTTTGCCTCTCCACGCCTATTGAGGAAGAGAGAGGAGAGTTAACCAAGCTGGGGCACTCTATGGAGCTGGCTGGGGTCTGACAGGCCAGAAGCCTCCCTTGCCTCTCAGGACACCTTACTGCTTCCCAGCTGGGCCCACACCTCAGCTCTCACAGCCATCAGCAGGGCATGGGGCCTAGTGTAAACACTGAGGTCCAGGCAGCCAAGGGCAGCAATGGCCACTGGGCTTCCTGAGACACAGGCTTTTGGGTCCTTTCTGAGCACGGCACCCATACCACCCCAGGGCTCCCCTTACCTGGGGCCAGGTGTGTGCGAAAGCTGTGGTTGACCAGGGGGAAGTGCAACACGATGGGTGAGTGGGGGTCCTCAGCCTTTGTAAACAAATAGCACTCGCGGGGTTCCTTCAAGTCCTCTGGGCTCAACTCAATCCTGGGGAAGGGGATCCCCCGGTCCTGGCAGTACTGCTCTGTCATTTGTAAGACCTGGGCCGGGAGGAAAGTTCTGATCGTGCCTGCCCTCCACCCCTGCCCTGACCCCCCACACCCACCCAGGACTTGGGGCAGGAAGGTACTAACACAGCCTTACTAGCTGACTGGCTTCAAGCAGGTGCCATTAACTGTCAGCATTTTCGCATTTGTAAAATAACCATGGGAATAATTATCTAGTAGGGTTGTAGTGAAGATGAACAGTAATCAAAGGTGATGTCTTTATCACCATCGGTCTCTGACATTTCTCTCCTTAATGCCCACTGTTTCCCTTCTCCAAGCCTCCCCGCCATCCCCCTTTAGGGCTGATTTTAATGTCACTAGGTTGATATTGAATGGTTACAGGATGTCAGTACTGGAAGTCACTCTTAATCATCCAATCCTGGCCCTCATTTGGCCCAGGAGGTGAAGACCAAAGAGAGAAGGGCTGGTCCAGCAATACAGCCAGAACCCCCATCAACATGGTGGAGTCTGTCCACCACCCTACAAGGGCTTGGAATTTGGGGATGTTTCTGTTGAGATTCCCTGAGGGAACCCTGATGGCTCTGTGACTAAGGGACAGCAGACCTGGGCCCAGGTCTGGATAGGAAATTCTGCAATGATGGGGTAGGGTCTTCTATTGATCAGGACAAAAAATTCCTCAGGACCTCATTCTTGAGCTGCTTCTTTGGTTCCCCTACCCTAACCTTAGCAATTCTCCTCCTCCAACTGATATGGTGCCACACAGATGAAAACCCAGGTCTTCCAAAGAGGGTTATTCCCAAGCACCCAGACTGCTCTTCCTCCTGCCCTTGTCCACTGATTTCAGAAGTCCCCCACCACACACCCACACAACACACCTCACCTCAAAAGGAGCTTCCAAGGAGTAATCAAAGGACAGGATGAGGTCCACTGCCCTCTGAGGCAGCAGAATGAGTGGGAATGGAGAGTTGATGGCAAAGCCACCATCCACCAGGTGCAAGTAGTCCCTCATGGGAGTGAGATGGTTAGGGAAGGCATCTGGGTGTGAATCTGTAAGGGGTATGTGTGGATAGATAGGGACAAATGTTTGCTTTCTGGCAACAACCTGCTGCTTTTCCCAATCTGAAAGCGTTCTGTTCAGATACCCTGTCCCCTGTCCCCCACCTCTTTCTCTTAGGGGGTCTTCCACCCAGCACCCCCGGCCCTGTCTTCTAGCACAACAATCAGAGTGCTTTCCAAAGCAAAGGCAACCCTGGCCCCCACTGATCCAGACCCTGGGCACCCATAACCCGCCTGCCCAGGACAGACTCACCTTTCCAGGCTACAAACTCCCGGCCGGCCACATAGTTCCTGTGCAGCCAGAGGCCTCGGGTGAAGTTAAAGTGCTTGGCAGAGGTAAAGCGAGATGTAAATATGTCCAGGAGAGCCTGGGAGAAAAGCCCCTGGGGGGTGAAGAGCCTCGTGCACAGCCTCGAGGGGTCCTGTAGCTGGAGCTTCTGGCACCCGTCTAGGATGGGGGTGCACCAGTCACACAGCACCTCCTGTGTCCAGGGACCCTCACACCACACACCAGCCAGCGTTCCCACCCCTAACCACTGCCTCATATTCTAACACAGAACCCTTTAAATGGTTTTTCCTGTCATGTGTCCCATGAGAGAAACATAAAAGCTGCCTGTGAAATGGAATTTGTTACTTAACACCTTTTGAAAGTAAAATTGTAATATTTAATGGCCAACCAGCAAGTCATCCATTAGACACTTTCTGAGCAGCTAGTGCGTGTCAGGCGTAGCACTTCACACCTATTCCTATTGTGGGAGAGTGGGATGGGAGGGGCCAGGGTGTCCACCCTCACCAGTGATGTTTACACTGCCTCTGTGTGAGTCCAGGAAACTGAGGCCCGAGCCCGAGGTCTTCAGGAAGATCTCATCCATGCTGGCTGCAAAGGCGCTGCCCCACACACCTAGGAAAACAGGTGGGGTCCAGACCTCACAACTCCTACCCTCTCACCCCACATCAAGCCAAGCTGAGCTCTGTCAGATCTCTGCTTTCCCCAGATGTTATGGTTTGAAATGTGTCCCCCCACCCCAAAATACAAGGGGGCTTCAAAGAGGTCATGAAAAATGAAATAGAAAGATAATGGGATTTGTCCACATTTTTTTTGAAACTCTTTCATAAGTATTTTAATTCCCAACCTCTATGCCTGTGGCTGGAGTCTTCATGTGGCACCACAGGATAATACATTGGACTTCAAGGTTGGTGGTTCAAACCCACCAACTGCTCCTCTGTGGTTTTGAACCCTGCTGTGAGTTGGAACTGAACACCAACATGCAGGTGGCTATGGTCCCATTTGGGAATGGGCTGTCTTTGTTATATTGATAAAACAGGATTAGTGCAGCATGTTCTTAAATCCATCTTTTTTGAGACAGAAAAGAGATGAAACAAGGAAGCAGAGAGGGAAGATGGTAGATAGCATGCCACATAAAGATCACCATCACCCAGAAGCCAGGGAATAAGGACCATCCCCCAGAGCCAAGAAAGACAAGGCCTTCTCCTGAAGCTGGCTCCTTGAATATGGTTTTCTTGCCTCCTAAACTGTGAGAAAATACATTTCTGTTTGTTAAAGCCAAACACTTATGGTCCTTGTGTTATAACAGCACTGGAGAACTAAGACACCAGGCCTCCAGCCCAGGCTCACCTTGCAGGTAGCAGATCCTGGGCTCTGGTCGGAACTTCATCAGCCGCCCCATGAAGAACTCGGAGCCGAAAAGCTCAGTGGGGACATAAGCCCCATACTTGGGGAAGCCGACCTCATAGGGGGTGAACTCGCACCACTCTAGAGACCCAGAATGAAGAGAAGGTCAGCAGGGATCCCTAGCCCTCATGCCTAAGCAGGAGCCTTTGCCTTGCCTGAGCAGGAGGCAACATCCCCACCATTCTCTGAGGCCCCTTTACTTGGTCTCCTTCCACTTGAACCGTGATAGCCTTGATCTATTACACCCTTCCTCACCTGCTCCCCACGTACCTGCAAAGTCTTCCCCACTGATGTTGGTGCGGACATTGACACTGGCGTAAATGGGGTAAGGGTTCTGACCCTGGCTGACTGCCTCCTGCTGGTCAGAAAGCTTGGCCGGGTTCTCCTGGGCAGCAAAGAAGGGTGGTAGCTTGGTCTTTTGGGAGTCCCTTTCCCCAGCACTCTGATCAGGCAGGGTGTGGTGTGCCCATAAGAGAGCTTCTGGGACACTAAGACCCAGAGCCCTGGAGCTTGCTGAGGGACACACTCTAGGCTGCAGCAGAGGCAAAGCTGGCCACTGTGGGCTTTATGCAGTCCCAGGGAGACTCTGGGAACTCTTGTTTTGTACCTTTCAAGAGAGCATGTCACTATATTTTTAAAATAATGAAAAAGAAAGAAAGTATGTTAGAACGCAAAGGAATCAGAGTGAACTTACTAAAGGATTAACTGAGTATCTAATCTAATGTATTTTAAAAGTAAATCTCTAGGAGAACAAACAAGATGGTGGATCAGGTGGATGTGTAGCAGAGAGCTCCGCCAACAACAACACAGAAT